AGCCCCCAGGGTATTTCTTTTATACTTTCATTTCTCACAAGTCACACTGTCAACTAATCAAGTCTAATTTTACCCTTCATCTTTTTGCTTGAACTACTTAATAACTTTCCAAATGGTCCACCTGTATTTAAATGTGTTCCTTTTACTACCACTATCATTCCAAATTCTCCAAAATCCATTCTCCAATGCGCATGCAGAGATTGTTGGAAGTGCAAACCAGATCATGCCCTACTCTAGGTAATAACCTTTTCTGTATGCTCATTACTCTTTGGTCTTGAAATAATGTCTGAAAATCCTAATGTTACATGGCTCTTGTGTGTTGCCTCAGCTTTTTTCTCATTACCTACCCTACCTTACACATACATACAAACTCTATACTGCGCACGTGTGCGTTCTCTCTCTCTCGCGCGCGCGTTCTCTCTCTCTCTCTCTCTCTCTCTCTCTCATCACTAAAACTTTGAACATTTTTATTTCCCTTTTGGGGGCTATACTTTTCCTTGTTCTTTTCTTCACCATTCCTATCAATATTTTAGGTCCTTATTTTTATAATTCCTTAAAGATGTTTTCTGTCACCTAGATGAGATTAGGACCCTTTGGCATATTCTGCTATGGGGTACATTCTTTATCATCACACTTTATTGCAATTACATGTTTAATTATTTAATCTGCCACTAACTCCTTGAAGTCAGGAAAAACATCTTGTCATGTTCACCACTATATTCTCTGTACTAAGCATAGAGAATTGGATATTTATTGAATAATAAAAGAATCTGTCAAACGATCAACTACTTCATACTTCTATACTTTAGTCCACACTATACTTTCTGTCTTTAATTAATGTATACTACTTCCTTCTTAGTTCTGCTAACTCTAGTTCATTTTTTTTAAAACTCAACTCTGGAAAACCATCCCTAAATTTCAATGTCTGTACACATCCTCTTCTATATTACTTACCATATTATAATGAAATGATATATTTGTGTATCTATCTCCAATGGATAAATTTCTAAAGAACCAAGATTTTTCCCTCAAAGGCCTTTTTATCTGTAGCACATAAGCATGGTGCTTGAGACAAAAAATGCTAGGTAAATGTTAAACTAAAATTAGCAGATATCAAAAAACAAATTTTTACTTGTCAAAATCAAGTTACTAGTGTGTCATTATGTCTAAAACCTAATTGTTTGTAACCACAGAAAATTTTTAATATACCTGAGCTTTTCATTCATTAATTTCATAAAAATCTATTGGAGGTCTGTACATACAATATGACTTTTCCATGGAGTATTAAATATGCCAATAATTTTGACATCAAAAAAGTTATAAAATGTATTTTATTAACAGAGTAAAACTAAAGCTTGAAAACGTATAAGTAGAAAGGATCAAAGAATTGTCATTTGCTGCTAATACAGACATTCTAAATCCAAAATTCAAAATTATTTTGCCCCCTAGGGACATATATCATGTTGAAATTGAATTATGAACTGAGCAATATACAGGACAACCAATGATTTAAAAATAGTCAACTACTTCTTACTTCCAGGAAACAAAATTCAGAAACTAATAGGATTTCAGCTAATCAATTTCATATATATCAAAGTATATGGATGTATTGGGAAATAATTAAGTGAACAAACAAGTTCATTTAAATGTCTAACACTGTCCTCTTTTTTGCTTTTATATACCATCTCTTGATAATTTAAAAAAAATAGAATTTAAGGGTTCGTAGGTAAAACTAATCAAAACAAACGCAGAATCTTCAAACTATCAGCTACTTTCCCTTTTTGATTTCAAAAATTGCAAAGATATAGAAAAGTTACCTTAAAAATAAGAAAGTTTTTAAGAAGTAGGGTATAATAAGTTCCAAGAGTTCATATTCAAAGATCTATGCTTAGAAGAACATGATAAGCCTTCATCCCCTTATACATTTACCAGGGAAAAGAAAAATCAAATTGCTACCAGTTTGGGAATATTAGGAAGCTCAACCTACTAGCATATGATTCAAGATACTTGACTGACTAACCTAAGGAACAGTGAGTTCGCACTAAATGTRAAACCTTTCAAAGCAAATATGAAGGATATACTCTTAATTGGACTAAGTGAATATTTCTCACAATTTTTAGCAATGCTTTCTGAAGGGGCAGAGGCTAATCTCTAGCAGTCCTTAGTAATACTTGGACTCAGTATATACCATGTGGCATATGTGCTTAAGAAATTAGGGCATCCATTTCAGTGTGCATTAGAAGCTGATCTACAAGGGAGCATAGCCTCAGGAATCCACTAAGTGATTAAATAWTTTTTAAAAAATAACTAGCAGATTTGCTTCTTATAACTAACATCTGGATTCATACTTAAGGTAGAAGAACAAAAGGCTATGCAAACACTTAATTTCATTATGCAGATCAGAAACTGATGTCATCTTACTTGCTGTTCCAGTTTTTCCCATCTTTACACCCAAGTTGTCGAAGTACACTGCACCTGCATTGAAGATTTAAACACACTTAAAAAAAAGTCCAGTGATAAAATGTTGAAGGTGTCATGCCCAATGAAATACAAGCATACCTCACCTATTAATAAAGTCTATGGCTTGTGCTTTCAACTGTTCTGCACTGTGCAAATCTGCAAGGACAAGGGTATCAGCAACATTTTCTACTGAGAGGTTACTACACAAAGCTTCTTCACACATGACCTTCAGTCGTTCCAGTGCATACTATTCAAAAGAAAAATAATCATTAAACATTTACTTCAGCTACTAGGTTTTCAAATGCATGATATCTGTAACTTAGAAAATAAAGCAGATTATTATTTGAATTAAAGTTATTTGAAAAGTCATTAAGTCACTGTTTTCATTAAAATGAAGAAAATATGAACAAATGCRTCCATTTAGGAGAAAGACCAGTTTGCTTTAGGCAATTTCAATCTACCTAAATGCAAAATACAGTGTTTTCAAAGTAGGAGTTATGCTACAAGCTGCCTTATTATTCAATATTCCTAATGAGTATATTTTACTTCTCTACTATTTCATACCTAGAGTGTGCCATTCAGTACATTGCATTGTGCCACTACTCAAACTTACATAATGAATTCATTAAATGTCAAAGAAATCATATTCGCTACCACTAAAAATTCTTTAAAAAATTATTAGTGGACATGTAATATAACATTTTACTGCAGCTTTATACTCAGCCATAAAACCATCAACCATTTCTGACAGAGAATATGCCTATCATCCCCCAACGTTTCCCACTACCTCTTTGTAGTCCTTCCCTCTCACTGTACCCCAGGGCAATACCTCTTGATATGCTTTCTATCACTATTTCTATTAGACTGCATATTCTMAAGTTTTCAATAAATGAAATCAGACAGTAAGAGCCAGAGTGGTCTGGCTCCTACCACTTGGTGCAACTATTTTCAGATTCATGCATGTCAATGGCTATAAATCAGTAGTTCATTCACTTTTATTGCTAAATAGTATTCTATTGAATATTTTACCAGAATTTATATATTCAACTGTTGATGAACATTTGGGTTGTTTCCAGTCTTAGCTATTTCAAACACAGCTGGTATGCACGTGAATATACAAGTCTTACATGGACTTATGTTTTCATTTTTCTAGAGTAAAACCCTAAGAGAGGACTTACTGGATCATAGGTAGGTTTATATTTAACTTTTGAAGAAAGTSCCAATTTTCCAAAGTGGTTGTATCATTTGATACTTTGATGAGCAGTATTTGAGAATCCTAATTCTTCCATATTCTTGATAATACTTGGTATTTTTAGCCATTACAACACATATGTCAAGGTACACCATGACTTTATTTATATTTTCCTAATGGCATTGGGCATATATAATATACTTCATTATTTTATTTCAATGTGTCTGTTCAAACATTTTGTCCACTTATAGAAATAATGTTTTCTTTATAATTGAATTTGAAGAGTTCTTTACATAGTATGAATACAAAAGTCAGATATATATTGAATGTGATTTTTCAGATTGAGAAGCACTGGCTTTCAGATCTTCTGATGTATTTGCAGTTCCCTTACCTTCAAGTAATCATCTTTACAACAGAAAATCATCATATTGTAAACTTTATTTTTCCTCCTCCTATGCTGTCATAATAAAAAAACAAATCTACAAATATGGAGAATTAAATTGACAATATTCTCTCAAGTTTTGTAAAAAACAAAGGTCATATGCAAAATCTTAAGACTACCTAAAAACTGCAATAAAATCTATAAAGTATTGTGTGTTCTTCTAAAGGGAATAAATATACACTCAAAAGAGTTGTGTTTAAAGTTTAATCTTCCCTGAAAAACAAAAACAAACAAAAAAAAACCTGGTTCTTCTTGAATCAAGGTATTATTATCTTATTGATTTTCCAAACAATCTAATTTCCATATTATCCCACTGTATGCTATTTCATAAAACTCTCAAGAGCCATCTTGAGTATAAATTAACTCAATATTTCAAGATGTTTGGAATTTTCATTTGATGATAGCTTTCTATATACATCAAGCTTGAGGATATTTTTCAGCTCCTTAAAGCCTAATTACTTACTTTGTCTGCAGCTGCCAACAAGTTGTCAGCCATTTTATCAAGATTTGGTGCTTTCCCTGTGTAAACGAATCTCATCATTTCTTTAAAAACCTCAGGGTCTAAATCATTTATTTCCACTCGATTCTAATATTGAAAACAACACACAAAAAAAGTTAAAGAATACATAAATATAAATGAATCTCTGACAGTAATTTTAAAACTTCAAATTTGTATAAAAGTACTTTATCACTTATACATATACAGATATTTCTAAAACTAAGTAAATCTTCAGTAAGGTAATCAGCCAAACTAATCAGGCAAGTTTAAGAGAAAAGAATATACTGTGTGAGAAGTGGGTGGGAACCATGACCAGTTGGAAAGCCCATACCCTGATAGACCAAGTCATGCACTGCCATGAGGGTATGGCAGTAAGCTTATACCAGTTTCTCAATAATTAAAAACAAACAAATAAAATCTTAAGCCAAACAAAATACATCTGTGTACAATTTCTGCCCTTTAGTAACTTTTTCCCTGTTGAATTTCTGGGTCCTAATACAATGCCTAAGATCATATAACCAACATTAAGCAAAAGCAGGGACAGCAGGTTTTTGATATAAAAAGAGAGCACACTACCTCATAACTTTCCCTTTTGCAAAAATGACATATATTATCTACTGGCATTTCCTTGCTTACTTGAGACACTTACATCCAAAGAGGACTAGTTGCTTTTTCATTTATGAATCTTCATATTTCATTTGTCTCCTGACATCAATAAAGTTAAACATCTAACACTAAACAATACCAAACTTTCCTGACCCTTGCTGCCAACAATACTTGACACCACTGTTATTTCCTCACTTTAGAAGTGATCAGAATGTTGATCACAGCGTCTCCCTAGGTTAACCATGAGAGGAAAGAAAGCTATTATTTCACTGCAGCTTCCAGTTCTGCATAAAGAACAAAGGTGGGCCACATGTCTAGTGGAAGTCCTATGACCTTTTTATTAAATCAAATAAATATTCTAGTGGTGAACAGAATGCAGATATTTTTGTTGCTAGAAAACAAATTGCAAAATTAACCTGAAAAGTCTAGAAAGGGGTCATATCCATCTTAACCAGAGACCTTTCTATTATGGACCAGAAAAAGAATCTTTTTTTCYTCCCTCATCCCTTGTTGTGCTGGAAAGCAAACCCTGGGCCTTGTGCATGCTTAGTAAGGGTTCTACCACTGAGCTATGTCCCCAGTTACTGAAAAGTTCTTCACGATAACGATTACCCACATGGGCATCATGATAGCGATTTTCTGGAATACACTGAACAATTCACATTAAGCTACATCTTTTGTTCTATTACAGCAGATATCTCCTCTCCAATCTATTTGTTTCTAAAAATTTCCCTACTTACCATAGTATAGCAATGAGGAATGCACAGTGCACTGTTAATTTTAAAAATATACATTCCCTTATTTTACATGAGTATAAATTAAATATTAAGCCTTTAAGTCATGTTTACCTTTTTGCTTTCTTCCATTTCATGTTCAAACATTGCATTAAAAACTGGGGATCGAGCTGTAAAAAGATTAAGCATCATTATTCAGTGCACAAATTTATTTTAAAAATATACTAACAAAATTTCCAAAAGTAGAAAGTACCTGCAAGCACAGATTTATGAGCTTTAAATTCTTGTCCTCTCACAAAAAAACTGCAATCTGTAAATCTTGTGTTTTCCCAGAGATTACCTAAATCTTCTGCTAATCGACATTCAGGCACCTTCAAAGTATTTGTATTCGTATGTCCTGATATGTTTACTGAATCTTGGACCACACTAACCTAATTAAAAAAGAGACAGCAAGAAAAACACTTTAAGAAATTAGTGTGAATAATGAGTTACTATGTCTATGCTTAAAATATTTATCTTAAAAATCATTTGGATAATCCAGTGTACTTCTGATCAAAACACTAATACTGTGGAACTGAATTTAAGAATATAAAGGAGAGAGATAATACCGGATATATTAGAAACAAACTAGAGCTTTGTCAATAGTGACATTTTATGCAAATGAATAGTTTATCAATTAAYTGGAAAGCTTATTATAATTACAAAAACTATTTCTCAACATAATAGCCACAGTATGATGTCCAATTCAAAGGAGATGATATTTTGGGGAGGTGGAAGAAGATATTACTTTTTCACATATTTTATACATACAATGGATGTATTATATGTATGAAATATAATATATAATGTTTTACAGTAAAATATATTTAAAAGTAAAATATATGTAAAAAATATAATGACTTTTACAGTAAAAGTTACAAACTTATAGTTTATTATATACAAACTGGGAAGTTTTTAACGTGTGGTTCCTATAAGTTTCAAGTATAGCAGAACTGATTTAAATAACTCCAAAAAAATAATTGTTAACTATTCAAGTCCATGGAAGTTTTCTACAGAAAATCAACAGCAAGAGCAATACAAACATAATTTAGTTCAATTTGCAGACTGTTAAATATATTTACCTATGAAATAACCAGTAAATAAAAGTTGGTATGATTACAACATTGCTTTTATGTAAATTTCAACATAATATATGCTAAATTACCTCCAATAAAGATGACTACATTTGGACCAAAATCCTAAAACACTATTAACTCAGACTTCCACACCACATTTTTTCTTTTCTTTCTCTCTTCCTGGGAGTTAGATCCAGGGGTGCTTTACCACTGAGTTACATCCCCAGCTCTTTTTATTTTTTATTTTGAAACAGGGTCTCACTAAGTTGTTAAGACTGGCTTTGAGCTTGTGATCCTCCCACCTCAGCCTCCCAAGTCTGGGTATTAATACTTGTGGGCCACCACACCGAACTGTTTTACAACACTCTTAAGAAAAGGTATTTTATTATGTTACACTGGAAATTTCAACTTATAATTAAYAAAGTAAAGAAAATACTAGTTCAACTAATAAAGCAAATGTTTCAAAGTAAATGAACCATTATTTTAAATTAAATAAAAGGTCCTATATTAGWTATCTATTGTTTTAAGATGCTATATTTTAGGGTCATTTGTTATATAGTGATAGCTGTACTCATTTTTTATAAGTTATAATTAAGGACACATATACATAGTACAACCTATGCAGAAAATATAAATTAGAAATGGATAAATTGGATCAGACTACTAACAACATATTAGCATACAAAGCGTAACAAAAGTCCAGTGTAAAAAGTCTGAAGTCATGATCCACTCAGATGTGGAAACACATATCTTGCATGAATTAATGAACAATTCTAAAAAAAAAAAATTAGAAGACTCTTATTTCCCAGAAAATACTTTTACTAACACTTTTTCTCATGACATATTCATCTTTTGGAACCTTATCTATCATAGGAAATCAGCTAATCCGTTCACCTTATTTTACAGAGATTTCGAAGTCAGATCAAGACAAACTAATGAAGTAGCCTAAATCACATTGCTAGTTTATATTAGAAAAAAACTAGACCTAAATCTCCAGATTCCTTTTTTATAGCTCTTATGCTAAACAATACTTTTACATATTATTTAAAATTAGTGGTAATGCTTTATAACATAAGTATGATCAAAAGCAATTATTACAATAATCTTATAGATGTTTTTCTAAATATGGGGGTCAAGATATTGACCTAGATATGGAACCTAGATTAAAAATTCAGGAAGAAGGCTGAGACTCTTTTCTGATTTAATTCATTTGATAGTCATTTTTCAAACATGCATCTGGCTCARCCCTGAAATATAATTTAGACTGAATGTGGACATTTGAGGTATCTAATCTCCTGTGTGATTCTCCTGAAACTCTGATTGTTCTCCAGTATGTAAAGTGAATACCAATAACAGTTTTTGAAAATCTGAATTCTTCAAAYTAATCCTAAAATAGGATTTTCCAAAGCTGCACAATACTACAATATTGCACTCTAATCAACTACCTACAACCCACTCCACACTGGTTCCAAAGCAAGAAACCTTTAACAGTCCAACTTTATATTGTTTTCTAGAACAGTGGGTCTCAAGAGTTTTTAACCTTCAGGAAACAGAAATAGTGTAGTCAACTTTTCATTTTACCAATAAAATAAAATAAATACCCAATTCCCACCCACAACCATAAGTATTCTTAAATAGAAAGGCACCTTATATCCTAGGGAAAAAATAAGATAAAAAAAAAAAAACCTGATGTGTTCTTAAAAATAAATTAGTTTGTGCTAGGGATGTGGCTCAGTGGTAGAGTATTTGCCTAGCATGTGCAAAAAAGTGTTTACTTAGCATGTACAAGGACCTGGGTTTGATCCTCAGTACCACAAAAACAAAAAGTCAGCCAATCAACCAACAACAAACAAACAAAAAATTAGTTTAACTTTATGGAAAGCTCCTTGCATATCTATTTTATCCATATATTTTTCTGTATATTATGGAATTGCTTGGGTCCATAGATTATAAGAGTAGTTAAAATCTTTTAGGTTTCAAAGATTAATCCAACCAGCTCTCTATTTTCCCTTTTTATTCATCAATTCCTGCATTCTGCATCACTTCTGGAGAGAGGATACAGAAATATCCACCTACCTCTGGCCAGTAGAGCCACTATATGGACCTTGTAAGATTAAGCTATGTCTTGCACGTAAAGGTTAGCCCCACCTGCCTTACCTGTCTACAGCACCACTTGCAGGGGAGGGAGAGGAGGCAGTTCTTTAGGTGGGGCAGTGCAATGCTTCCTCCTCTTCTGCAAGCAGTGCTGGAGATGCTGTAGAAGGAAGGGCATCCATGAGAGGGGTAGAAGAAATGATAGAGGGCATGAAGAATGTTATTTTAAAGCACTTTTTTGCCCACCTATGCCAATTATGATGCCCAGACTATAAATATCTAAATTAGTTTTTTTTTTAACGTGCATATTTCAGAATGTAAAATGGGATCTGATCAATGCCAACTTAAAAAATGCTGTAACAGTGAGTTCTACTTTTAGGGGGTTACTAGCATGTATTATTAAAAATCTGGATACCAAGCATATTTCAAAAAATATATCAAAAAGTCATAAACTTAATTTCAGCCTTAATTCTGAATTTCTTGGTTGTCTAGGTTCCAGTATAATACAATTAGGAAAAATCTGCAAATAATATTTCAATTCTCAAAAAAGGATTATTTTCTAAAAAGAGTCATTCACAGAAGACATAGAGTATTTGCTTAGCATGTAMCAAACTTTTAGTTTAAATTGGATTAAATAGCCTAAGGACCCTTAAATTTTAAGATGACATTTTAAAAAATTAACACATTCAAATTTAAGAAAATGCTAAAATTCTGGAAGGTTCTACATTAAGGGTGTTAAAATTTTTAAATTCTGTAAACCATATTTATTTAGAATGCTACTTAGAATACCTGCCTATTGGTARCAAATGTTTTAGTTTATTTTTCCCTTCAAATAATTTAATGATAAATCTTGCTCAAGAGACTGTGGTATGTGCTATATCAACTACAAGATTCATTTGTAACTAATTATATAGTTTATTTACCTTATCCAAGTGAAAATAAGTCAAATTATATCATGTCTAAAGCCAGATTTCAACTGTGACACATATTTGATTATGATACAACTTGACACACACTTAATTATAATCTTACCAAGAAATTTTGCACCTTCACTATAAAGAGGTAAAAACTAACATATCAATTAAGGAAGTTATTGTCATTCTAAGACACTCAGCTGTCCACATTAATTTATTAACACATTTAATGATAATCCCAGCATCTTGGGAGGATGAGGCAAGAAGATTGCAAGTTCAAGTCTTTGCAACCTGAAGAGACCCTGTCCAAAATAAAAAATAAAAAGGGCTGGGGATGTAGCTCAGGGGTAGAGAACCCATGGATTCAATCCCTACTTTACATATATATGTACTTTTGGCTTTCTAATACAAATTATCAATTGCTTTAAATATTTCAATAAACTATACTAGTAACAATATCACCCATGAATTCACTCTGAAGATGAACTTCAGAAATTCATATAGACAAAACTACTTAATGATAATAATGAGGGAAGCAAACTCTAATCTCACATTAAGACAAATCATAAGTATAAATTACTGACAGCAAAACCCTGAAAACTTTCAAACTATGATAAATATGCATGTCCTTTCTTCAAAASGAAGAAAAATTTAATATACATATACATATACAATTCGCAGCTAGTGATATGAAAGAATTTTTTCAGACTGGGGCACCCAAAGTGATTTCTAAGATAATTTAATTCCCATTTTCTGATCAAGCATTTACAAATGAAACCTTATATCAATTACTTAATTTTTAAGTACCCAATATAAATCTAGTTTACATATTTACCACATCACCAAATATAACCATGGAGTTTCTTGTAATATAAAATATACCCACCTCACAAAATAATGTAAGCTTGTCATCTGGTAAAAGACCATTAGCTTCATCAAGCAAAAAATCCCTTCTAATGAATTTTTTAAATCCCCAGTCCTTCCCTTGCACAAATCGATATGCTCTTTGGCTTTCTGGTGGAAAACAGAAATTTAAATAAAATAAGTATCCAAGAGACATTTTTTTAATGATAGCAAAGGTAAATGAAATATACAAACATAGCACTTGGCTAATACATRCATCATAAAAATTCTAGATATGTGTTCATACATTAAGTATTGAGTCTGAGAAAACAGATCACATTGCTACTCAAATTTTGGTCATGATTAGTGAGCTCAATTTCAGACTCTGAATCTCTTAAGAATAAAGGAAATAAAATCTCATGGAGATCTTTTTAACAATCTTGAGCCTAAATTAAAATAGAACCAAATATGTTGGAAAAGCATACTATTCATTATCTAATATCAGAACTTTATTAGAAATATATTTCTCGTTTCTRCTTCTCCCCTTAAAAACGTATACTCTACATCACTCAAAATCTTTTAAGCTTTCCTGGCATATCCATCCCATTGATTTAAGCTTTACTAAACTACAGAAAAAAAACCATAAACTGGTGAAAAAAGATAAAAGTAGTATTTACTAAGTCTTTAGACATAACTATCTCATCCCATAAAAAAACTTTTGAAGTTCAAAAGATGATTTTAGTATAATTTTACGAATAAATATCCAAAATAAATGTTTCAAGTGCCTACAGTACTGTACAACAAGTATGTACTATGAAAAAACAAGATCCTTTATAGAAAGTATTCATCATCTTGTATGGAGAAAAAAAATCAAGGCAGAAAACCAGTAATCTAATAACCAAAATACTCCACTATCTTAAATGCAGACATTTGTGAAAATATATGTTCCTTCAACAATAAAAGATACTATTTAAAAGGTGTACATTTTCTTGAGTAARTTACAAGTAACTCACTATGGTTCACTTCAGAAAATATTTAAAATTTAATGTGTCAATTCATGAGATATTTTCCTATTACACATACTACATTTTCTATAATATTCTATTATTAYTTTATTATGAAGCTCCAGGTGACCATATGTGGATCCTGGACTGAATTTAATAGTTCCTGATTCTAAGAACTGATTTTCTTTTGGTCAGTATTGAGTTCACTGCTCAAAAAAATTCTATTGACAAAATACTGGGGCATTCCATCTCTTCTGCATTGTTCTCCAGATTTTATTACCTGGCAAAAAAAGAAATGGGAGAAGTATTTCTTGAACACTTTATTGTATCTGCCAGGTACTGAACAAGGCACTTTTTCTTAACAGCCAACTATATTTTCAAATGACAAGTTAATGTAATTTCAAGACATGAAGAAGTAAAAATATTAACTGCCCTTTTAGGTCTTATGAAGTATAAGACTTAGCAAAACAACTACGGCTTTGTGCTAAAACTTAAAAATGAACATTAAATGTTTTGGGCTAGGTAGATTTTAGTCRGGGGAGGGGGCCCTACAGAGACTTCTTCACTCGATTTGCAAATCACTTACCCATTGCTTTTGTTTCTTCCCTTTTAGCATTCAGAAGAGAAAATTTGAATTTTGCTCGAACTTCACTTTTGGGGCAGCTGACTAAAAGCAAATATAAGGACAAGTAGTCTTTACTTTCATCATCTAATCCCTTTGGGTTTACCCTCAGGCACCTAAAATAAAACAATAGGCTCACTTGGAGGAATATTATACTTGAAGCATGCAAAAGAGAGGCAATACTGAAGTCATCTGTTAACATTACAAATAACACTCCTGTAAATATTCAGTTATTTACATTTCTCCATACCATTAGGAACTTATTACCAATTTAATATAACATCATACTAATAGCCACCCCCTTAAAAGCAACAATAACAAGAAACTATAATGAGCTGATAATCATATCAAAAACAAAAAACAATCCAAACTAAACAAAAATCTTACCATTTCATTTTGTCACTTGGGCCAGATGAAAATGTTGAACTTTTTAACACTTCACCCATTTCCTCTCGACAAAAACTGAAGTTATTAATGGTCCACATGTAGGAAAACTTTACTACTTTAACCTAGAGATTCAGAAAGTCACTTTTTATAATGATTCTATGCTTTTAACTCGTCACATGTTAAATATAATATGATTCACTCTTCCATCCCTTCTAATAACTATGCCAGAGTGTTTTATACTAATGTTCTTAAGATACTATAACATTTATAAAAGACGTAATTTTTTTTTTTTTTAAGAGCATATACCTGTGTGTAACACCAGCTTTCTGCTATAGGACCAGTGGACATATCTCCAGGCAGAGGTGGGCTGGGTTCCCGAGACATTATCACCTTATTATAGTCTTTTATGATTTATGCAGTAACCCACACAGCTGAGTACTCTACCTACAAAGAAAATAAATTCTTAAAAGTTTGACAGAATCAAGAAGAAAGATACATAAGTAATAATTCAAAATTAGATTTGGAGGATTAAGGATTTCAAATAATTTTAATAATTTTTGAGAATTGAAATCATAAGGCCTTGTAATATATGACACTTGAAATCTACAAACCTTTTATAGATAAGACATTATTTTTTCAAGAAAGTTTTCCAAATATATGTGCATTTATATAAATATATATGTCATATATATATATATATATATATATATATATATATACACACAATTCACAAAACAAGGCCCACATAGCTTAAGAGTTAAGATCACATCACGAAACTTTAATGATATTGATATCTGATTCACTTTTTCCTTGAGCTATTTATGAAAACCAAAGGAGTTACAAAGTTATCATTATATATAGTTACTCATCTGTCAGATTCCAGTTTTCATGAAGATTTCTACAAAAGTCTACATCTATCTCTGACAAACAGGCTCATTGATAAGACTGYCTCTATCAGAGTGCTTCTCACTGAGATGTACTATATCATAAAGTTTTCTTATAACCTGGTCAGAATATTACTGAAAAGATGAAGTTTTGCAACTTGAAAAGTCTACTAAAGAGCTACATAAATACCATACTTTATAGAAGTAATAGTGTTTCAAGATTACGTTCCTACCAAAGGATTTAAGACTGAAGAACCTGCTTTTAACTAAGTGAAGGAAATAACATGCCTCCAATGAGGGGAAAATATTAGGAAAAGAAAAAAAGGACATCAACCAAAATGCAGAGAAAGTTTTGCTTTCTCTTTATTCTACTGAAAAATATAAGATTAAAAAACCAAGACTGAAAAAAGCTGTCTGAAAGACACTCAGAAATAAAAGAGCTAAAGAAAATATAAAAACATGTAAAACTATGAACAAAGAAGCATATTAAAAATCTGTATGTAAAGAAATTCAACATTGGGGAAAAACATCACATCAGTATAAAACCCAGAGAAAATGATAAAACAATAAAAAATATTGAAGACAGAACAAAATCAGAATTACTCAGCAAGTAATTATTYTATCAAAAGCAAATGGAAAAGCAGTAATAAATCCAATATTAAAGAAGCATACTCTCAAGCTGAATAAAGAAGTTGGTTGGTATAATTGAACTCCTCAATAATCAAATAAAATCAGAAACCACCACTGAAATACATTTTTATGAAATTCAAATGAGAAAAAATTACAAATATGTATTCTTTAAAAAGAAAATCAAGATGGCCTCATATTTCTACTAACTGCTAAAAGCCTTAAGAAAAATAAAATAATCACTATAGAATTCTAAGTGGGGAAAAGGCTATAGCACAAGAGTTTTACAATAAATCATGTTTTTGCTCATCTTTTTAAAGGTAAAATTTCATTTCCAGATGTGTAAAATATGTATGCTTCCCTCATAACTGTTGAGTGGAGGAGATAAGTTCACTCGAGTTACTTTTTAGCCAAAGACACATGAATCAAGAGGAAAAACAAAAACCTCTATATAATGGTTCTGAATTTTATAGCACTTCAGTATGTGCAAAAAAAATTCACGTCTTAAAACTGAATTTGCAGGTCAAAACAACTCTTACAAGAGTGTGACAAAATAAGTCAACTGGATAAAATACTAAGTAAAAGTATGAAACCTGGGCAGAGGTGGGGAGGGTACTGGGGATTGAACTTAGGGATATGCAACCACTGAGACACATTCCCAGCCCTATTTTGTATTATTTAGTGACAGAATCTCACTGAGTTGCTTAGCACCCTCACTTTAGCTGAGGCTGGCTTTGAACTTATGATCCTCTTGCCTCAGCCTCCCAAGCTGATGGGAATATAGGCATTTGCCACTGCGCCTGCCTGGCTGAAATAAGTTATTTTTAAGGCACAAAATCAGTGGGCCCAGGACTTAGTTTTGAAATACATAAGTGAGGAAAACATATTCATCTGATTCTTATAAACAAGAAAACAGCTGATTCAAAACCTGATTTAGATAAGAAACTAGTAAATTAAAAGAGGATGGTGCAATTGCTATGAAATGGCTAAAAATTTTTCAATTAAATAGCACAGAGGCTACTTCAGATAGGGTAACAAGGTTTCTTTGAAGAACCAAAAATAAGAATAGGTAGAAATGCCAAGAGATGACTGTAACTGAGAAAAAAGAACAGCAAGTACAAATGCCCTGGGGCAGGAAAGGATTTGAGAATACTTCAAGAAAAAGGAGTCCAATGTCGTTGATTTCACAGAAAAATTTCACTCAGGGGAAAAACAGTGCAATTTAGCCAGGCATGGCAGTGCACACCTGTCATCCCAGAGACTCAGGAGGCTGAGGTAAAAGGAYCGAAAGTTCATGGCCAGTCTCAGCCTCTTACAGAGGCCCTAAGTAACTCAGCGAGACCCTGCCTCAAAAAGGGCTAGGGATGTAGCTCAATGGTTAATCACTCTTAAGTTCAATCCCTAGTATCAAAAGAAAAACAGGAAAAAACCCTGTAATTTATATAGTATTAATTCAGAACAAAGGATTCATGAAAATAAAGGATAGGGAGGAATAAAAGCAGGAAAACTAATTAGGAAGTTAASAGTAGTATTCTGAGGAGATAATGAATGGTATACCAGAAAAGATAGGGAAAGGTTCCCCTCAATTGAAGCAAATATTTTAGATTAACAAAATTTTTAATGAATAAAATTAAAAGAAGGGGAAATCAAAGATAGATCCTAGTTTGAGACCTAAGGAATTGGGAGGATGACAATGCCATATACTAAAATGGAGAATGTTAAGTATAAGAATACTAGGGACTGACTGGGGGACTGGTTTCAATAGTGTTAGGTACAACATCAAAGAAAACTTCAAGTGGAACAATTTTTAAATTACTTCTTTATAATTAGATTGTTTGTCCCTTCCCTTTTTAATAATGGCTTCTACACTAATGCACTCACCCAAATGTATTTACAACTCAAATACTAAAGAGTTCCTATCATGTGATATGCTTGCAGCACAATACAATGAACAGGGGGATCGATCCATAGGATAATCAGCAAGCAGACAGGCAAAAAAAACACAAACAAAACAAAAACGGACAGGGTGATGACATGGGGATATTCTTAGAAGCACTCACATGTTTACTGCAGCACTATTCAAAAGAGGCAAGACAGAATCAACCACAAAAAGCAAACTGAATAAAAAGGTTGCAAAGATAGGGTATGAAGAATGATGGTGAACAAACTACATTTTGGCCACTGTATTATAAAGTATTAGGAACTTTCTTTATTCTTTGGTAATTTTATGGGATGGTTGGTGATAATCTCAATTATAAGGAAATAGATTTAGACCGTTCCAAAAGCTTATTTTAAGCAGTAAGATAATTAAAAAGTGGTTCAACACAATTTATCTGGCAATGCTTTTTCCACAGAATCATGCTGCTCTTCAGATATTATAGGGCTTAAGCAGGCCTTACGTATCTGTCCAAGCCTGAATTTTATAAATGAGGATCAAGAAAACAGAAATGGACTTAACAGAAAATGAACGGTTTAGGTAAATAATAGTATAAAGAATAAAGAAATGATCTCCCAATGTCTGTTTCAGTGATCATTTCTGGTATTTTTCCCCTATTAATCAATCTGCACATCAACAAAAAAGGGTTGCTTCAATATTCTATTGTATATATAGATGCTCCTTGACTTATAATAGGATTACATCCTGATAAATCTATCAAATATTGAAAATATTATAGACTTTTTGAAAATGCGTGTGATACTACTGAAAATAATATCTAAGCTACTGAACATGACAGCTTAATTACACAGTATACTCTAGAGTAACAGTTATTTACCTGCATGGCTGAATGGAAACAGTGGCTTGCTGCCACAGCCCAACATCATGAGGGTATCTTATTGTGTTTCGCTATCCCAGGAAAAGATCAAAATTCAAAATGGTTACTACTAAATGTACACAGCATGATTAGTATTGAATGTATATCACTTTCACAATATTATAAAGTTGAAAAATCATAACTTAAAGCATCCTAAGTCAGGGACTACCTATACATGTTTTAAGAATTTTAGGTGTGATATTGCCTGCTTTTATTAAAGAAAATCAAGAATATACAAGATTTTCTATCTTATATGTTAGAATTAATGTTCTGCAAATATACGTCATACACATACAAGCTACCTAATCTTATTAGAAAAAWTTCAAATAATTCGAAAATAGAAACATGTCATACATACACACACCATCAAATTTCCTCTCCTTCCCAGAAGATTTCACTGATTACTATATCAATAAATGAATTCATATTCTTTCTAYATACAGTTGAGTCCCTAACTTTCTAGGTAGAAGTTCACAGAGATGTAATAAATATGCACACAGATGTGATAAAAAATGGTGGAGAATTCCAAAACTCTATCCCTCTGCAAAAATCAATGAGTAAGCAGGCAAAAAAAAAAAAAAAAAAAGTCAGAATCAACTTTTTTTGGAACTCTGAAATCTAATAAAAAACTTATGGCCACTGGTATATTCTTAATGAAGAAAGAAGCTACTGAATTTCAGTGAGAAAGCATTATGGCATTTTAACACACCTGCTTACTATAGCCTCTCCCCAGTTCAGTGTTCAGCCACAAAATCATTTCAACAATTTTGGTAGAAGGTGTTGGTACCAGAGAGAACAATATAGACCTTATTCTAAAAGAATTGTGGTTGTGTGCTTGGACAGTCTGGAAACTCTCTTGAAGGACTAGTTTGGGCTCTGACATCTATTTTATTTTATATCTGCAGTGCTGGGAATTGAACCCAGAGTCTTTTACATGCTCAGCAAACACTGTGCCACTGAGGCCTGACTTTGGGATCTGACATTTATCAAAAGGATTTAGAATTAACTACATTATGTACAGCCTGCTAGAGCAATAGGAGCTGCCACAAGCAAYAGCCAAACAGAAGAGCCTGGGAAGACACTACCCAATAGGAATAAGAGAAAAAGAAACCAAAAAAGG